TATGGCAGAGTCTCTTGTTGCCAGGCTAGGTGGTGCCGTGGCATCAGCCTCGATCAGCAACCCAACTCCTGGCGCTCAGCTCTCTGCCTCATGCCTCCCAAGTAGCTGGGCTACAGGATTACCACTATGCCCGCTAATTTTTTTTTTTTATTATTAGTTTGCAATTAATTCTTTTATAGTTAGAGCGGGGTCTCGCTCTTGCTCAGGGCTGGTTTCGAACTCCTGACCTTGAGCAATCCGCCCGCCTCGCGCTCCCAGAGAGCTGGATTTACAGGCGTGAGCCACGCGTGCGGCTCTTTCTTTTTTTTTTTTTTAAAGATATGAGGTCTCACTATGTTGTCCAGGGCTCACACAATCCTGGGCTTAAGCAATCCTCTCACCTCACATTTTCTTTTCTTTTCTTTTTTTTTTTTTTTTTTTGACACAGTCTCACTCTGTTGCCCAGGCTAGACTACCATGGCTTCAGCCTTGCTCAAACTCAGCAACCTCAAACTTGTGAGTTTAAGTGATCCTCCTGCCTCAGCCTCCTGAGTAGCTGGGACTACAGACATGTGCCACCATGGGTAGCTAATTTTTTCTATTTATTTGTATATAATTTTTTCTATATATTTTTTAGTTGTCTAGTTAATTTTCTTTCTATTTTTAGTAGAGACGGGGTCTCGCTCTTGCTCAGGCTGGTCTCGAACTCCTGAGCTCAAACGATCCACCTGCCTCGGCCTCCCAAAGTGCTAGGATTACAGGCGTGAGCCACTGCGCCCGGCCACATTTTCATTTTCCACGTAAGCAACTCATTACTTCAATCATCTGTTGAAAAAAATAAAAGTGCTTTGTAACAAATATTTACAAGACAGAGTCATGTGGAAAAAGAAAACAGATCAGAAACATAACTCAAATATGCTTACCTGACTAATAACTTTGACAAGTATTATCAGCCAATAAAATATCCATCCTATTAACTACATTCATTGGTGAAGTTTCATTATACTATTAGCAAAAGGTTCACGTGTAATCAGTGATCATGTAATAAATGATCATCACAATAATCAAAACAAAGACAAAAAGTATGGGTAAACCCCTATGTACAGAATAAGGGGACGAGCTATAACTGTTGGTAATTACTCTAAAAGCTCTTTAAAATTCTTAAGATAAATGTCAGTATATTATTCAACAGACACCATAATTCATAATAGTGACTAGATCCCCTTCACGAATTCTAATTGAATTTCTAGCTCCAGCCATGATAGGTATTGTCCTACCTGAAATAATAAAACTGGACAAATATATAAAACAATAATTTTCAGGCACTGGAAACAGGTAAGGGTGAATTTCACCAGAAATCTAATAGGGCTAAATATATAGGTTCTAATAGGGCTAAATATATAGGTTCCAATAATAGAGCTTCAAAATACATAAAGCAACTACTGATAGAAATGAAAGGAGAAATAGACAAATCCATAATTAGTAATTCAGTATTTGATAAAACAAGTAGACTGAAAATCAGTAAAGATATGAGACTCTAATGCTCTATCAACCAACTTGACCTAATTACCACTTACAGAACACTACACCCAACCTTCAGGAGCAGCATATACATTCTTTTCAAGTAGAAATCTTCACCAAGATATACCATATACTAGGATATAAAAGAAGTCTGAATGGATCTAGAAGGATTGAAATAATATATAGTCTCTGACCACATGGCAATTAAATTAAAACCAATAACAGAAAGATACTTGGAACAGTCCCAAATAGTTGGTAATTAAACAACACATTTCTAAATACATGGATCAAAAACAAATCAAAAGGGAAATGGGGAAATATTTTAACTGAGTGATTTGATAATAACATTTAAATTTGTGGGAAGCAGCAAGAGGGAAATTTTAAGCTTTAAATGCTCATATTAGGGCCAGATATGGTGGCTCATGCCTGTAATCCTAGCACTTTGGGAGGCCGAGACAGGAGGACTGCTTGAGCTCAGGAGTATGAGATCAGGCTGAGCAAGAGTGAGACCCTGTCTCTAATAAAAATAAAAAAAATAGTTTTTACTACAAATGAAAAATTAGCTGGGCATCATGGTGCATGCCTGTAGTCCTAGCTACTCAGAAAGCTGAGGGAGGAGGATCACTTGATTGTCCTCCTCAAATGAGGTTACATTGCAATGAACTACGATGATGCCACTGCACTTGCCCAGGCTGACAGAGTAAGACTCTGTCTCAAAAAATAAAAGAGCTCATATTAGAAAAGAAGAAAGGTCTCAAATTAATCACCTTAGCCCCTTCACCTTCAGAAGCTAGAAAAAGAAGAGCAAATTAAACCCAAAATAAATAGAAGAAAGAAATAATAAAGATAAGAGCATAACTCAATAACATAGAAAACAAACAATAGAAATAATCAATAAAACCAAAAGCTGATTCTATGTAAAGATTAGCAAAATTGATAAACCAAGAAAAAAAAAAAGACAGAAAACACAAATTACCAATACCAGGAATTATAAAGAAAACATCAGCATAGATCCCACCAGCTTTAAAATGATAATAAGGATATATGTTAAACAATTTTATGCCAATAAAATCAGCAACTTAGATGCAATGAATGAATTCCTTTAAAGAGGTAAATTACCAAAACTGACACAAGGAGAAAGAGCAAATCTGAATGTCTCTATATTTATTGAATAAATTTGAGGAAACTGAATTTGTATATTAAAATCTTTCCACAACGAAAACTCCAGGCCCTGTTGGCCTCACTGTTGATTTCTAACAAACATTCAAAGAGAAATAAAACCAATCCTATACAAATTCTTTCAGGAAACAGAGGAGAGGGAAATACTTCCCAACTCATTCTATGTAGCAACATAACAATGATAATAAAACTAGACAAGGACAATGTAAGAAACAATGGACTAAAATCTTTCATTAACATAGATGCCAAAATCCTTAATAAAATATTAACCAATCGAATCCAACATCCATAAAAAAGAATCCAGCAGATTTTTAATCTTAGGAATGCAGAGTTGGTTTAACATTCAAACATCAATTAATGTAATTCACATTAACAGAATAAAGGAGGAAAATCATATGAACATCTCAGTAGATGCAGAAAAAACATTTGACAAAATTCAACACCCATTCATGGCAAGAACTCTCAGCAAACAGGAATAGAAGGAACCTTCCTTAATCTAATAAAAGTCATCTACCATACAACATACAACTAACATCATACTTAGTGGGAAAGAACCAAATGCTTTCCTTCTGCTAGAAGAAAAAAAGCAAGAATGTCCACTCTCACTACTTCTATTCAACATATCCTAGCCAGTGCAATAAGGCAAGAAAAAGTAATAAAAGACATAAACACTGGAAAGGAAGAAGTAAAATATCATATCTCCTAGCCAGTGCAATAAGGCAAGTATCACATATAGCCAGTATCACACTAGCCAGTATCACACTAGCCACTAGCCATATCACACTAGCCAGTATCACATATCCTAGCCAGTGTAATAAGGCAGGAAAAAGTAATAAAAGACATAAACACTGGAAAGGAAGAAGTAAAATTATTTTTATCTGCAGATGTCATGATTGCCTATAGAGGAAATCTAAGGAATATAAATAAAGGAAGAAGAAGGAGAAGGAGAAAAGAAGAAAGGAAGACAGACAGGCAGGCAAGCAGGTAGGGAAGGAGGAAGGAAAGAAAGAAACCTACTAGAACTAATAAGTGAATTTAGCAAGGTCTCAGAATACAAGATCAATATAGAAAAACAAATTTTACCTCTGTATATTAGCAACAAACTGGAAAATGAAACTAAAACGCAATACCATTTATAGTAGCATCAAAAAACAAAACATAAAAATAAATTTAACAAATGATATGTAAGACTGCTACATTGAAAACTACAAAATATTGCTGAGAGAAATTAAAGAATATCTAAGTAAATAAAGAGCTTATATCATGCTCATGGATTGGAAGCCTTGATATTAATGTATCCATTCTCTTCAAATTGATGTATAGATTTAACACAATCCCAAAATTCCAGTAGGCATTTTTAGAGAAATTGACTCCAAAACTGACAATCTTTGATATTGGTGCAATGATAAACAAATATATAAATGCAACAGACAATAGGCAGACCTATACCTGTTGAATTTACCACAGGGAATTTAATTTTCCTGGAGGAGTTTAGCTGCTAAAGCCAACAGGGAGTCTGTAAGAAAAGCATAAGCTTTTCTGGAGATTAAAAGAGATCATTATATTGTAATAAAGAAACTGTTTTCCTTTTTTTTTCATACTTGTTTGCTAAATACAAAATTAGGTAGAATCCTGGTAAAATACCAGGTGTTCCAATTTTATTATTTTTTAAAGAATACGAAAATCCAGAATTTCGGTATTATACCCCTTCTGCCATACATTATTTATTTTATGAAATAGAAAAAGACTGTACTACATAAAAGGCACTATGAGATGGCACTAGGAAACAAAAAGAGTGCTAGCAACTGTTTAAAAGGATAAAATAATTTAATTAACATGATTATCATATCATTTTTAGATATTTTATAAATCTTATAAACACTTTTATTGCTGACCAACACAACTTATTTTTAATCATGTAATAGTAAGGAATGGCTTTTAAAACAATGGGTCAGATATATCAATAAGAACTCACTTCAGGAAGGCTGAGTGTTCTAGAAGATATAGAAGATGTCTAGAAGATATTGACTTGAGGTTATATGACTATCAGAATGAAAAAATTGGTGTTAAATTACAATGTGTGTCATGTGACAGGATATGTTACCTACTCTTTATAATTTCAAATCAAAGCATTGTATCACAGAGTTTTAGAAGGAAAAAAGAGGGAAACAGTAAATGTTTTGGTAACAAAAAAAAGTTGGATGATGCTAATGGGAGACCACAGGCTGTCTTAACAGCTCAAATAATATTTCTATTGTCTACAAAATAAGAAGGGAAGAGTTGTCAGTTTGTATTCTTAAGATTATTTAAAAGAAAAGACACTACCAGAAAAAAAATCTGTTCCTCTTCAAATTCTTCCCCTCATAATGGCCATCTCCACCCTAAAATTAGAAACCAAGCTAATAAGAACCAGAGAAAAGAATGTAAATATATGCTGCCAAACCTTGACTGTATCAGTGTTAAGTTATATGTAAACTACTAAATGATAAACATGCTAGTTAAGCCAGAAGATTTGCTTCAATATCTTGCTCAAGTTTTGTACTTTTAAACCAGGGGTCCCCAACCTATGGTGAGTTGTCTAATTATTTCATTATATATTACAATGTAAATAATAATAAAGTACACAGTAAATGTAATGCGCTGGAAGCATCCTGAAAACCAACCCCCACTCCTACCCCCTTGTGCATGGGAAAATTGTCTTCCATGAAACCAGTCCCTGGTGCCAAAAAGGTTGAGGATCACTGTTTTAAACAATCTTCATGATATGTTTAAATGCTGCTCCAGAATGTTTAGTGTGGAACCAAACCCATGTTTCATGCTTATCAAGTATCTTTGCTTGCTCAGAAATGTTTGGTGCTCCCAGACTTTATTACACATTTAAAAACTTTTCCTTTTGTAATTAGAAAGCTTTGAACCAAAGCTAAGAATGACCACTAATCAAACATGACTGAAATAATAGATGATCAAATAAAAGTATATGATGAAATGTAAGCTGTAGTTTTATTAGGATGTACCAGCCAAGAAGTTTTTATAAATTAATGTTCAAATTAAGAAAACATGAATAATTTAAAGATTAATAAATTTTAAAACAAATCTAGGTGAATATACACATAACTACATAGAATTTGATGTATCTGTATAATTCTCTAGTAAGCATTTTTGTATATGTAACATTAATAAAAAGGATTTTTTTTTTTTTAACCATACAGTGATTCTGGGATTCCCTGAATTTTCAGCTGCTGCATTTTCTACTCTACATCTGGCAGGTTCGTCTTCCTTTCAGTTTGTGCATTTCCTGTATTCTAAAAAGTAAATAGAAACAGGACCTTAATTGAGGAAATGGTGAGTCTTTGGCTAAGGAAATACAGCCAGAGATAACTACTTGTACTTTGCCCCTGGGGGTTCTTTTATAAGGTACAGGGAGACTATTTATTAGAGTGTTCCTCTTTATCATCATCAAACAGAACTAAAGGTGGCCCTTATAGGGACTCCTTCTTGCCTAAATCACTCATTGACAGTAATTTAGGGTTTCTCTCTGGTAATAGAGCCTAGTCAATGCATGTATGCATTATTTCAATATACTTTTTTTTTTTTTTTTGAGACAGAGTCTCACTTTTGTTGCCCTGGCTAGAGTGAGTGCCGTGGCGTCAGCTAGCTCACAGGCAACCTCAAATCCTGGGCTCAAGCGATCTCTTGCTCTCGCCTCCAGTAGCTGGGACTACAGGCATGCACACCATGCCTGGCTAATTTTTTGTATATTATATTTTTAGTTGGTCAATTAATTTCTTTCTATTTTTTTTAGTAGAGACGGGGTCTCGCTCAGGCTGGTTTTGAACTCCAACCTCAGGCAATCCACCCGCCTCGGCCTCTAGAGTGCTAGGATTACAGGCGTGAGCCACCGCGCCCGGCCTTATTTCAATATACTTTTAAGATGCCTGAAAGAGTTTAATGTAAAATTGGGAAGTGCTTGGATCTGATTAGATAATGCAAAAAACAAGCAAATACCAGAGCCAACAATAGAACAAATAAGTGCCTATTCCCTTTCTTATGTTTTTTAAAACATATCATATTCTCTCATGGTCTAAAACAAACTACAGACTCAAATTTAAGAATTTTCTTAATTCTGACATTAATTTATTAAAATGTTTAGACTGCCTCATATGCAATTTCAGTCACGTGTCAGAACTGCATTTGAATGAGCAATACAAATAAGCTATAACAACACTGTCAACTTCTAGTTATTTTAATAACTACAGCTTGTTTCAAGTCACTCTTATAAAAAGGTCATCTTGTCATATGAGCAAGAAGAGGTTTTTCCTTCTCTTATTTATTTATCCTAAAAATGACAGAACTGTCTTTAAGAATTCCTTTTTCCTGCATTGGAATGGAATTGTGGTTCCTGGGGCTCTCATAGGACAACAGGATAAACACATGCAGCACATTTCTAGACTGCCGGAGCTCAGGAGACCTAATTACCCAATTATTCAAAAAATGTGCAAATGCTGTGCTGTGCAACACGCTGTAACATGAGTAAGTCAATCAAATTAAAGTTTAAAGCTACCTTATTGCTTTTATAATCAACTGAAGATGTCTGTTAATGGCTTTCTTGTTCTATAATATTTTTTTCTGCAAAGTGGATTGCAGAGTTCTTAAGTTCTAGGACAGCATAGCCCTAAAGGTCACAGTGACAATACATTTAATAGTGTCTGTAACCCTCTTCTCCAAATGTTGTAGAGATTGAGTAGCCTTGTTAAAATGCTTCTATATAGTTCAGACCAGCTTCTCTATATTTTCCATTCTTCATATTTCTTAATAAGTATATGCTGATTTTTATCCTGATTAAACTATATCAATTTTATTTTTTAAAAGCAGATAATGAAGTTTGATAAATCACTTGCAGAGATGCTTCTTAAGTGTAGAAAAGGAGGCCATTGATATGACTTATTCAGTGTGTGCTCAGTACAATCTCTTTCTCCTAAAAGAAGTATACCTTTAGAGGAGTATTCATTTGGCAGTTAACAGCTTCATGATTCCAATAAATTCAGAATCTCTCTGGTAGGTAGGGGCTGTGACCATTTCAACAAAATTACCTAATAGGATAGCTGAGATAAATATTTGTGAAAATAGGACAGTAATAGACAGCAGAGATACATAGGAAATAATTGGAGAGTAGAACAGAAGGAAGGAAGAGGCTAAAGACAAATACATATATGCTCATGGTCATACACCAATGTTTATACCATATTCATTTCAATGGCATGGCTTACCTGATCAATGTTTGACAACATACCATAACACGATACTATTTTCCCTGGGTACTGTGCCTTTTAATCATTCAACATTCAAATGAGGGATGGTATTTACTCTCCAAGAAATGACTGCTAGAGACTTTTAGTAGTTGGTTATCTTGGAAAATATATTTTCTAGAGTTAAAGATTAGTGATTTGGATTTTATGTAGCTTTCCAATATTGAATAGTTAAATTTACACACTGAGTAAAGGGCTTTAAATAGCATTCTTTAGTAGAAGCGTATAACTAAAAAGTTTTACCTCGTTGTTTTCTTGATTTGAGGTCACCATTAAGTATAAGTTGGTATTTTAGATGATCTGTTTTCTTGATCTCTCTTAGCATTTTGTCTGTTTAACTTTTACAAATGTATATAAAACAATGAAAATTTGTTATTCCTACCTTGAATCTTTACTTTCCTTTTTAAGAACTTCAACTGGAAATTCTGATGTCTACTAACAGTCGTTCTCAATCATTACAAGTAACTGAATAATCTATGAGTTGTAATGGTAAAATCAGAATTATTTGTTTTATAACTTCAAATATCTACCAAGTTAAAGAGAAACAATTATTTTATTTTTTTATATCTCAGTATACACTGTTAAGTGAATCAGATTTCTCTTGAGCTATGTATATATTCTTGTATTATATAATTTTCACAAGGTGTCACTATTCTTTCAAGAAGATAAGAAGTTTATCGCAGACACAATGGTTTTGTTTTAAGACAAATCTTAAATTTAAGACTAAGATAAATCTTAATTTATAAGTCTTATCTTACTAAATCTTGAAGGCCAAAGCATATTTAAATTCTGCTATTATATGAGAAATAATCATGGAGAAAATGAGATATTATTCTATCCCAGGTCATATACTGATCAAAACTATCTCCCTCAAATATTGTTTTAACATTCAACAATATTGGACTAATGACAAATCTACCCTTTAGGCGGCGCAGTGGCTCACGCCTGTATCCTAGCACTCTGGAGCCGAGGCGGGAGGATTGCTTGAGCTCAGGAGTTTAACCAGCCTGAGCAAGAGCAAGATCCATCTCTATAATAAAAAATTAGTGCTGCATGGTGGCACATGCCTGTAGTCCCAGCTACCTGGAGGCTGAGGCAGGAATGGCTTGAGCCAGGATTTGAGGTTGCTGTGAGCTGGCTGATGCCACGCACTCTAGCCTGGTCAAGAGAGTGAAACTCTATCTCAAAAAAAAAAATCTACCATTTGAAGGTGTCTTAACCTCTCTTTCAAATATCTCCTTTAAGCCTTACCCTTATTTCATGATGGGGAAAAAATAACTCATCAGCTGACAATGTTTTTCTTACAATCTACTGTTTTATACCTAAGGCCATACTATAAATATGTTATATTATAGATGCCTGAAAGAGTTTAATGTAAAATTGGGAGTGCTTGGATCTGATTAGATATGCAAAAACAGCAAATACCAGAGCCAACATAGAACAAATAAGTGCCTATCCCTTTCATGAATAAATGATATCATCTGGAGATTAGAAAGCTATGCAAACAACGTATACCTTCCATTCCTTTTATATCCTTTGATTGTACTGTGAAAGGCAATTCGGAATGGAATTCTTTCCTGTCAGATCTGGAAAATTCAGCTTCCTTTTGTTCCCACTTGCCATTTGGTCACTTTGACCTGTTCGCTCATTAAATATACCCTCTCCATTTGGCTCTAAACAAACAACAAACAAACAAGAGTTCATTTGAAGAAATGTGTGTACTATTTGTAGAATGACAACCTAGAATTGCCAGCCATTTGGATGCATAGATATAGGCATAACAACTATTTTAATACTTAAGAAGTACAATGAATACCATTAAACATACCAACAGATCAACTCCATAAAGTTTCAGAAAGCAAACCTTTTTTAGTATATTTAATTTTCTTAAATAATAGTCTTGACCATAAGAACCACATCTTTATTAATAAAACTTAAACTTATAATAAACTTAATAATCACTATACTCTGACTTTAATAATAATAAAACTTAATAATACTTAATACTGGCCGGCGCGGTGGCTCACGCCTGTATCCTAGCTCTCTGGGAGGCCAAGGCAGGCGAATTGCGAGGTCAGAAGTTCGAACCAGCTGAGCAGAGCGAGACCCTGTCTACTATAAATAGAAAGAAATAATTGACAACTAATATATATAGAAAAAATGAGCCGGGCATGTGGCATATGCCTGTAGTCCCAGCTACTTGGGAGGCTGAGGGCAGTAGGATTGCTTTGAGCCCAGAAGTTTGAGGTTTGCTGTGAGCTAGGCTGATGCATGGCACTCACTCTAGCCTAGGCAACAAAGCGAGATCTGTCTCAAAAAATAATAATAATAATAATAATAAATAATGCTTAATAATAATAAAACTTAATAATAATCACTATACTCTGACTTTGAACAAATTGCTTCAGTTCATTTCTTTTTTTTTTTTTTTTGAGACAGAGTCTCACTTTCTTGCCCAGGCTAGAGTGAGTGCTGTGGCGTCAGCCTGGCTCACAGCAACCTCAAACTCCTGGGCTCAAGCGACCTACTGCCTCAGCCTCCCGTAGCTGGACTACAGGCATGCGCCACCTGGCCGGGCTAATTTGTTATATATTAGTTAGTCAATTATTTCTTTCATTTTGTAGAGACGGCGGTCTTGCTCAGGCTGGTTTGAACTCCTGACCTTGAGCAATTCCGCCGCCTCGGCCCTCCAGAGTGCTAGGTTACAGGCGTGAGCCACCGCGCCCGCCCTCATTTTCTTAATAATTTATTTATCTATTTACAAAATGATATGCTTATGGCACTGGAAACCACAAGGAAAAAAATTACTTGTTTACCAGCATTTTTGAAAACCTATGTTACTGATTTGTTCATGCTACATGAATATAAAACCTTCTTGGTTAATGATCACTCTTCCACAGTGTAATGTGTAGTTCCTGCTGTATGAATGAAGGCAATGTACTTAATCAATCATGTACTTTTGATAGGTTTGTCATTTCAATTATTATCATAGATAACATTGTAAAAATGGGGATGATCTACACTGATTATTTTTTCCAAAGAAAGAAAGTTGTGTTTATTTGATCCTTGCTTTTTATTTTATTATTTTATTTTTTGAGACAGAGTCTCACTTTTGCCCAGGGTAGAGTGAGTGCCGTGGCGTCAGGCTAGCTCACAGCAACCTCAACTCCTGGGCTCAGCGATCCTACTGCCTCACCTCCGAGTAGCTTGACTACAGGCATGCGCTACCACGCCCGGCTAATTTTTGTATATATATTTAGTTGGTGAATTAATTTATTTCTATTTTGGTAGAGACGGGTCTCGCTCAGGCTGGTTTTGAACTCCTGACCTTGAGCAATCCGCCCGCTCGCCTCCCAAAGTGCTAGGATTACAGGCGTGAGGCACCACGCCCGGCTGATCCTTGCTTTAATCCATAAAGATACTAAACATTTTTTGAAGTGAAAAACCAGAAATTCTGTGACTTTTAAGGTGAAAATCTTAAGTTACTCTGCCAATTAATATATTAAATACACAAATTAAGATATGGAAATTGATTATAATTGTGAACCACTAAGAAAATGATGGCTACTTCATCTTAGGAAGAAACAAAAGAAACTACAAGCACAACTTTTAAGGGTTTCAGCCCCAAAGACAGTGAAAAGGGAAAGGGAAGCAATGTTAAAAGAGGCCATATGTATGACTAGCTTCTTGCCTTACTTGAGGTGGAGCTGTATCCTCTGCTTGCTATTATACATAATTGTTCCGATGATTGTGAAGTACGTCTCTTCTTGCCTTTCAGTTAACCTATTATTAACAATATGAAGTTATTAGAACTTCCAGAATGCCTTTGCTTAGCTTCAAAAATGAACAAATTATACAAGGATGTCTATTGTTCAAACAACTGAATGCCAAAATGAAATTGTCAGTCCTTAAGTACCAATTGCTCTAAGGAGAGAGTATTAATAATAGGCAGAAAAAACTAATGCATGGCTAACATCAGTGGTGATACCATCTTTGGGGTTACTCCTGTGGTCTAGTTGCTCCCTCTTTCTGTTCTGACTTGGATCTCCTAACTATTGGGTTTTGCAATTTATGAGCTTGCTATCCGAGACTGAGCTGAGCTCACACCTGCTTACTGGGACCAATGGTTTTGGGGTCCCTAAGAAACAACTGGCTCGGCCGGGCGCGGTGTTCACGCTGTATCCTATTCTCTGGGAGGCCGAGGCAGCGGATGTTGGCTCAGGAGTTCGAACACCTGAGAGTGCAAGACCCCGTCTTTACTATAACTAAAAGAATTATTTGCACCAATAAACTATATATATGAAAATTAGCTGATGGTGGCGCATGCCTGGTATTCCAGCTACTCAGGAGCTAGGGCAGCGGGATTTCTTGAGCCAGAGTTTGAGGTTGCTGGGGCGTAGGCTACGCCACAGCACTCACTCTAGCCTGACAGACGAAAGTGAGACCGCGTCGTCGCGATAAAAAAAAAGGAACAACTGGCTCTGCAGTCTGTAGGCCCTGCTGTACCTTTGGATGACACAGACATGCTTCTTTTGCCCCACTCTGCAGAGGGGGCTAGCCACAACCTGCTAACCAATTCTTAGACTGGTAATGAACCTAATTTCCTTCCTCTCGTAGATCATGTAGTTCTCCTAAATTTAGAAGTGGCTAATGCCTTGTAGGATCTACAATCTATTGACTGCCCCTTGATAACCAGCCACAGGACCATTCTCACGGTCTGTATTCAGGCAAATCAAAATGGCCATATGCTGTTTTTTCTTCCTAATATATTGATAGAAAGCTATTTGACTATGAACAATTATTTTTGGCTTCCTTTTATACCTTAGGAGCATTTGCTATGATAAAATAAGCTTACTTTGTTATACCAAGCACATCCATCTGAACTATAGATCACGTCACCTTTTTCTCTTCAAAGGGGAAGATATTTTTCCCAAGGTCTTTTTTAATGAGGTTTTACCAAAAGACATTAGGTGAAATAACATCTGTGATGGCTAAGAAAGTTATTTCTTCTATACATTCATAGGATCACCCAGTAAATGGCCATTATGCAATTCATAATTTCATATCTTCCTCAAGATTCCAGTGTATATAGACTATGAATGCTGATTCTTTGAAATCCATTATACAGGAACATTGTTTACTTACTGTCTCTTGTTGTTACAGCTCACCTTGTATTGGGGTGAGAGTATTTGAATTTGGGATTGCAGCCATCATTGCTAGTTAGTTGATGGGTGGATTGTCTACAGCTTCAGAATGTAGACCTTCTTTATGCCATTAGGTTAGTGCTTGTTCAGGGTTGGTGGTTCATGATTACAGTTTCTCTTGAGGACAGAGCATGAGCATTTCGATGCATCTTGTTGACAATGGTCCACTTCATCTCTGTCTTTTTCATCTGAGATATTCCTTTCCTCCTTGCTTTAGTAACTCTGACTTTGCTTCCTTGGCTTTTCTTTTCTTTTTCTATCTGGATAGGATTACATCCAATCTGAGTCATGGAACAGTTATTTTTTTTCTTAGTGTGTACTCGCATTAGTTATGCTGACTGAAACAAAAATGAGTTCTTCCTTTCCCAAAACTGAGCTATGTAGCAGTGTATGGTACCAAATTGTTTCTTTCATCTTCATGAGTTCATTTTCTTAGAACTTCTTTTTGGCTTTATGAACGAATTGACTTTTGCTTCTTGTAGTATTAGCTCTCAGTTCTGGCTATAATCTGAAAACAGCAATATCAACCGATATCTTTCTTATTTTGTAGATAGAGTATTTATTTATACGACTTTAATCAATTTAATACATTTCAGATATAGCATATAATAAGCGTATAATCTAATGCATGCCAAGCTAGTCATAATATTTACCTATAATAATTGCTTTCTGCTAAATCATCTTTCAAAAATTTGCTATGGGATTACTAATTAAGATTTTACAGGTCAGTTTAGTCCTCACGCCTGTCATCTAGCATTCTGGGGCAAGGTGAGAGGATCATCACTTGAGATCAGGAGTTCCGACCAGCCTGAGCAGGAGCAAGACCCACGTTTATTCTACAAAACTTTAGAAAAAATTAGCTGGGTGTTAGTGAGGCTGTTCCTGGTAGTCGCAGTCTCAGGAGGGCTGAAGCGGAGATGTTGAGCCCAGGGGTCAAGGTACAGTGAATATGACACCCACTGTACTCTAGAAGGGCGAAGAGCTAGACCCCGTCAAAAAAAGACTTTACAAATACCCAGCCAGGACAGTGGCTATGCCTATAATCCCAGCCACTCTTAGGAGCTAAGGTTGGAGGTCACTGAGGCCGGGTTTGAGACCACCTCAGCAAGTGAGTTAGCACCTTAGGACACTGTACCATGTAATGAGAGTAGCTGTAATTATTGTTTATTACTAGCTTTCATTCACGACACTTGTAAATCTACATTTACCTAAATGATCACGCTGATACAGTACTCAGTATTTTAAGCTGAATATTTCTGTTATACAATTTATCTATGTGGCAATTCTTTGCTAATAAATTTCCTAAAACGATAGTGCTAAAACATCAACAATTAAGAAACACACTAAATGCTACTTTCAATAAATCCATCCCTGGTAAAATACTATGGATGTAAAAATCAGTAAATATCTTAGCAGGATCATTTGTAACAAGCCTAGCAGGAAAAAGGTTTTATGGACAAATGATCTTAACACAGCTCATTACGGTAAATTAAATTATATATGACAAATGGAAGAGTCATTAATTATCCCACAGCTAAAAGAATGTGTTCTGAAAACTTCCAACTAAATTTAACCCATGTTTTCTGACTCTGATCCGTGTTCTTTCTATAGCATAATACATTTTAAATATCGAGTCTCAATCTTTTTAATGTCACTTATTAGATAGCTCT